CCATCTCCCCAGATGTATTTTATCTTCATTATTAACACCATAGTATGGATTCATGTAGTACTTTCATGCATAAAATTATGAGTTATTTTTGTACATGTGATACCTTTTACTCAACATTTTGTGTGTGGTATTCATCCATGTAGTTGCATAATGTTAGATCTTCTGATAATTTTCACTGTTGTTTGGTATTTTATTGAATGAATATATCATAATTAATTTATATATTCTATTATTTTTAGGGGTAATTAGGTTTGCTTATTATTTATTTTTAATTTTTTTAATGGAGGTACTGGGGATTGAACTCAGGACCTTATGCATGCTAAGCATGTGCTCTACCACTGAGCTATACTCTCCCCTGTATATATTCCATTATTGATTGACAGTTATTCCTAGTTTGAAGCTATTGGGAATAATGCTGTAATGAATATCCTAGTATATGTATTTAGGTGCCAATATCATGCAATGCATGCCTTTTGGAGTGTACCTGAATGGAATATAATATATACATATATATGTGTGTGTGTAAAATATGAAACATACTAATTAATCTACATAACCATCAATTATTGGCCTTGTCACATTTCATATTATCTTGATCACATCCTGATAATATGTAGTAGATCTCTCTGTGGGTTTAAATACGCACTTCACTGGTTTCTAAGGAGGCTTAGCTTTCTTTTTTTTTGTATATGCATTAGCATTTGGATACCCTCCTTTGTGAAGTGCTTATTCATATGTTTTGCCTATGATTCTAATTGCATTGTCTTTTCTTAGCAACTTGCAGAAGATGTCACAGATATATCTTTTTTTCAGATTTATGTATTGCAAATATTTTTTCACATTTTTCAATTTGCCTATAACTCTTTCTAAATATGGTATCTCTTGATGATTTGTTCTTGATTTTAATTTATCAGTTTTGAATGGTTACAGCTTTTTATGTTCTGTTTAACAAATCCTTCCACACATCGAGATCACAGAGGGACTCCATACTACCTTCTAGAAGTTTGTTACAGTGCCACATGGTACACAGTGGGGTGTACTGTTCCCTCACCTCTTTAAAGTACTGGATGTAAAAATATACCACACAAAATCCAGCAGTCACAAGTCTTTACTATTCATGCAGACATAAGCAAAATGAAGGAAATTTTGGGGTGAGCAGGAGCTGTATCTCACTGGCAAGAGTTTGCTTTTGGATGTCTGGCAGAGGAGAGGGAAGAGAGCAACTGAGGTTATGGACGAAAGCTATATAGAGGTTAATATGGTAATATACTAATTTAGATGAGATATGACTATAGTATAAATTTAAATAGTGGAATTGGATAGAAAAAGATAAATTAAGACATAAAAGAGAGAAAGTCAACAGGTCCTGGTGTCTAAATGGTTTTGGATTGTGAAGCTGTCGAGGATGATTTCAAAGACTGAATTAGATAACTAGGATTTAGGAACTAAGATAGAAGATACAGAAAAAAAGATTTCTTTATAAGGAGAAATAACTTTCTTGATTTTTATATGTTTTGTGTTTGAATTCTTTTGGGGACTTTGGTTAGAGAAGTCTGATGATTAGTTGGAAATATAACTTCAAAGCTAAAGAGAAAACCAGGACTAGAGACAAAAAATTAGGAAGTCATTGGTGTACAAATACTATGGTTGATACTTAGAGAATTCCACAAAGAATGACCCAATACTTGAAAACAAGTGAATTAAAATACCTATAAGATGTATTTTAAAATAAATGTTAAGTAAGATTAAATATGTGAAAAGACACCTTGACATAAGAGAAAACACTCTAGCAGCAATAGATTGATAGTAAATAATTAGATAAGTGGACATATATGAGGAATAAAAGTGTCCATTGGAAATTGGATTAATAAATCATAGAAGTATAGAAAAAAATCATGAAACCAAATTCTAATAGTTATCATTCTTCAAGGGTCTTAAGGCTGGTGGTCTAATTGGCTAATCCCAGGGTCTGCTGGACTCACTTTTGGTTGTTTTGTCATACAGTGTGTCTTAAACATTAAAATTTAAAGAACAAACCCTTGACCATGAAAATGCACTGAAATAGTGTTATGTTGCACTATGTGTTGCCTTTTAAGAAACAGCATATCTATTTTTCCTGAGTGGTAAATGCTGGTATCACTTTTGGACCGCTACAAGAAGGTTCTGTTCTTTTATGAAGTTTCTATAGTTCATTTTAAAATCCTAAACGTAACTAAGATGATTTCTTAGGAATAAAATGAAAATAGGACAGACCTGGTGATATAACTCTGAGAACTACACTGTGTTGAGAACAAAAGGAAAGAATTCAATGAGGGCCTGGAAAGAAATAAGAGAACAAATGGAGTGAATCAGAGTTGGGAGAAATAATGAACATGAATAAAGACAGTTTTAAAAGGTAGTGATCAACAATTTCAAAAGCTGCAATAGAGACAAATAAGAACAAGACTGAAAGTATGCAATAGCCATTAAACTAGAATTATGGACTTTTGGAAGTAAGCTAAAAGTTGATACTGATGGGTAACTGAATCTAAACTGATAGCCGACGTATCAGAAGAAGTTCCATTTCACTTTTCTCTAAGATTCTCTTATTTCATACAATAAAGATATCAGATTTTTTTAACCAAAGTAATCATTGAAAAAGTACTGTAAATAGCTATTACCTTTTATTGAGTATCTCTTATTTCATGGCACCGTTACACATTTTAGATACATATGTTAGACTTTCGCCCAATAAACATTATATTTGTCTTTTTTACAGTTGGGCAGCTAGGGGTTTAAAATGTTTAATCCAAAAGTTACACACAGAGTAGTCCTCTAGTCACTACAAATTGTCTGAGAAAATTAATATCTCTATTAGGATTTCTTCTGAACCATCTTTACCATTTTGTTAACAGGCATAATTTCTTCAAGAGGGAAAAACTCTAGGAAACGAAAGAGAAGACAGAAGAATTTCAGCTGGTGACGCTGTTTTCAACCTTATCTACACTTCAATTTTAAGATACTCTGTAATATTTAGGAGTTAACAGAAAGATTACAAGATAGATGGTAGTAACTATCAATGCTTACTTGTAAGTATTTGTTGTCCATGGAATCCAGCTAAAAGACTCTATTAGTTACTAAAACATTCCTGCAAGCTAACTGCTTTTAGAAAGACCTCCATGACTAGAGCACAAGATGATGCCACTAGCATATTATGATCAACACTTTGTGCCATTAGAACACTCTTACCAACTGGCAACAACTAGCTCATTAACACATCAATACACAGATGAAAAACTAAGTCAACCCAATAACCAATCTGTGGTCAGAGTACAATCCCATAGTAATAACCTTGCAGCACCTCCACTAAGCTCTAAACAGAAGGTGCAGAGATGCTCTGTATTGCCCTCTGCCAAGTCTCAGGACACAATTTCACTGGATTTCTATAACAGGGTTCTGAAATCACCATTGTCTCATTCCAGACGTCAGGCTACACCTCTACACCTCCACTGGAGAACTTCACTGTGGCCTAATAAGACAGACCTGAGCTCACCTTTGTCCCACCCCAAACCTCAGATAACATCGTCAGTTGACCTCACCGAGACATCATCACTGGAGCCCTATCAAACAGCCTGGAGCTCACATTTACTGTTTCCCAAACCTCAGAATACATCTTCCCTAGACCTTTGCTGGACATCACCTTCACTGAAGTATAACCAAAGAGTGTCAAGTTCATCATTATATGCCCTCAAACATCAAGAAACTCCTTCCTCAGACTACTTACAGACATCATCACCTTTGGAATCTAGTAAAAGAGCTTTTAGCTCAGCATTACCTCAGTCTAAGCCTCAGAAAGCATCTTCTTTGGACAGCCTTTGGACATTGTTATTAGAACATAATCAAAGAACTTGTAGTTCACAATCAGTCAACTCTACACCTCAAACAAATGATTTGCTTCAGACATCACCTTCTTTGGAGCCCAGTCAAATGACTCTGAGCTCACCATTACCTGACTCCAGACCTCAGACAACAGCTGTATGGAGCTCTAATTCCAGTGTTCTGAGATTACCGCTGTCTAACTCAAAACCAAGGAAATCACCTTTACCGCATTCTGTCCACCAGTCAAAGAGTTTGCCAGTGCTCCAGCCCAAATCTCAGACAGTGCTTACACTTGATCGTGACTTCAGAACCCTGAGATCACCAGTTTATCACTCCAAGTTTCAGAATACCACTTCACTAAATGACAAACACAAAGCCATAGATCTTTCTTCACCTCAACCCAAACCAAATGTCTCAGGTCAATCATTTTTAAGCTCCAAACACTGCATCAGGAACATAGCTGCTGTAACACTGGGCTCCAGACTGCAGAGTCAAAGCAGTTTTGATCTTTATGAAAAGACAGAATCAAGTAAAGAAATTCCATGGATTTTCGATTATGTTTATCCCTGCATTGTTAAAGGTGGAACTGTCCCTGGTGATGTTGTAAATAAAATTGTCAATTCTCTCTCAAAGACCAGAATCCAGAAGGATCTCTGTAGGCAGATTCTCTTTCGAAGGATGAGGGGGAGGCCAAATCCCCATCCTGGTCCCCGCCTTTCATCAAGTTATATGGTTTGTTTAGCTTGTGCTTCCTGCATAAAATCTCAGTGTAACCATCTTACAGGAAGGAAAGATCCTCGTGCTGCAACACTCTTTGTCATACCAACACCTGAGCCCACTTCTGAGGGCAAAACAGAGGTGAAACTAGCTTTTATCCTTTCCCTACCAGAGACTACTTTGTCGTCTTGTCTCCCACCCTCTGTGAAAGAAAATCAGCCTGATGAAGACCCTGAAGAAAACCTTGAAGAAGCGGAGAAGATATCACAACTTTCCCCTACATCGGAACCTGATCTTCTCCAGGCAGTTGATATGAAGAAAACATGGCCACCAGGAGCCCCTGAAAATCAAATTGTAAGCCAACAGCCCCAGGCTGTTGACTGGCTGCTCTATGTTAAGAAAAGTAGTAATCCTCAGTCACAGTCCCTGCTGCCGTCCTCTTCCTCCTCCGCATCTTCTTCATCCTCCTCTTCTTCATCTTCCTCTTCCTCTTCTTCCACCGTACCTGTACCCACTTCACCCCCTCCTTTGAAAGAGTCCACCACATCTACCCTCTCAGGCTGTGTGTTCACTAAGGTACATAGTTACCACAGGCTGCCTCCAGGGGTCTCCTGGCTTGAGTTTATATGTAGTAAAAATCACCAGCCAATTCTTGGAAAACCACATCAAAGTCAATCACCACCTTCTAAAACAAGGCCTGTGAGGAATTGCACCACAGTAAAAAGGAGAAAGGGGCCAAAGATACTGTTCAAAATTTTCCAGACAAAGGTTCAGAATGAGAGACATCTTGATTAAATTTAACTTTTTTGTTTCTTTGAAAGCAATTGACCTCTTAGTTCTTTAACATTAGAGTTTGATTTCCTACCATCCTTATTAAAATTCTTGGTATTAACTATGTGTGAGTCTAGATTTTACCTGATGAAGCACGTAGTTAAGAGAAATGACTGCTCTTAAGTCTATTTTCTAATTAAACAATAGGCCATAATCTCCTAGAAGCCAAAATTGAATCCCATGTTTTTAACCAAACACCTAACTTATAGTAGCCACTATAAACTATAAAATAATTGTTAAATACATTCATTGTAATTGGCCATAGACCAGAAATACCTCATTTGTCTTCTCCTGAACAGTAGCAAACTCATTGTTAATCTCCTTCCTCATAAAATATGATAATAACAGGATCCTTAAGCCAATTTATGCTGATCTGTTTCCCTGTCTCTAAAGAAAATTCAGATCATGTTCAGCAGGTAAAAATATATAGAAAGGAATCTTAGGAAAAAATCTTCTATGCTAAGATCCCACACTCTGAAGTGCAACGAATTACTCAATCTTAGTTAGTGAATCTCCGGAAAGAATAACTAACTGGTGCAGGTAACCCTACCTCATGCTGACTGTGCCAACATTTAAATTATGAGCTCTAAAGTCACCTGCTCTTCACTTCTACCTACACAACCTAAATGGGTTAATAAAAATGTTTAAAAAATGTTTTTGTTCTACTGGTCTCCTGGTAGTGGAAAGAGAAGGGAATTGTCTTATCTACTCACCTTAAGTGGTTATCTCTATCCCCAAGGGATAGAATTCATTTCTCTTGCACACACTAATGACTCACAATTCTGCCTCTCCACTCCACATCTCTCTGATCACCAGACTGCATATGAGACATTCTCAATTGAAACACTGTGCAGGCATCTCAAACTCAACATGGCCAAACCAGAATTCATTATTTTTACACTTACAATTTGCATTTTTACATTACAGTCCTTTGCCCTCTGTGTTCCCTATTTCAGTGGATGTACCACCATCTGTCATGGAGTCACGTTTGACTGTTTTTCTCATTTCCTGCCCCTCTACAAGTTTGTGAGTTCTATGGCCTTATTATCTCCAGAATCCAGCTTTTTTCTCCAATCCCATTGCCACTAATCTAGTTGTAGTCTCAGCATTTGTCAGCTGGATTGCTGCAATGCCTTCTAAGCATGCACCTTAACTTTTGAATGCAATTCTGAGACAAAATTTGATAATGCCTCTCCACTGTTTGTAACCCTTTTATCATTGCCTGTGGTTTTCTGGGGCAAGTCTAAATTCCTTTTATGATTGAATCGTGATAATCTTTCAAAACTGATTTCTTATTCTTCTCCAGTCTCAGCCACACTAATTTCTTTACAGTGCAAAGAATGTGCCAAGGCCTGTTTTGCATCTTTCACTTCTAGATAAATCAACAATTCTGCTGTCCAGAGAAATCTTTCCATCTATGCATTTTTGCTCTATTTTGTCTTAACATCTTCTGAGAAGTCTCCCTGATCCAGTTACAAAGAAAGGGTTTATTTGGCCTTCCTATCACCATGAAACTCTGTTTTCACTCTTTATGCTGCTCTTAACCATATTATAAAGCAATCATTCCTTGTCAGTCTTCACTCACTAGACTGAGAACTTCTTGTTCACCATTTTGGCTTTTTACCTAGTCCCTAAAGTGTTTGTTAATATTGAGTTGATGCTATTGAAGTTCTTTGTCTTTTTTTAAATTCTGAAATAAATAATGGTTCATCTGTCTGCTTCTTTCCCATAAGATTAGTATTACATTTCTTTTTTGGTACATTTTGTCTTGGTGAGAACATATATAAAAATGTTACTGATGACAGCAGTCATCCTCATTTTATTTCTTACGTTAAAAGTGTTCCTTTCTAGTATATCAGTATTAAATATGATGTTGGCTTAAGCATAACTGATCTCTGATAATGAGGAAGGACTTAGGTATGAGATAATGTGTTCAAAGCTTTCTCCAACCTCTTTAGAAAACACTTGACATGTGCTCTATTCATTCTGAACATCTCTTTTGATGACACACCTCACTTGTGTAATTACCTGTTTAATATGTTCTCCATTAAGAGTAAATTTCATGAGTGGAAGGCATGTATCTATCTTGTTTACCATTAACTTCACAGGTCCTTGTGGTACCTGCACATATCAATTATTCAATAAATATTTATGGAATAAAATGAAACCAAGGCGTTCAACTGGTTTTTATTTGTTGATGTAACTTACATGTTTACTTTTCTATCTTTTAGCTTATTTTCTAAACTTTATGCCTTATTGCAGTTTCTTTATTTTTCTTTTTGGGGGAGCTATGATTTAGTTGTTTTTAACTTCTCCATTGTATTGGCAGTTATTTCTTTTGTTCTTAATCAGAACTGTGTCTAATTTCAAGGTTTTTTTCAAAAGAATTCTTTAACCATTATTTTCTAATTTCTTAATTTGGAAGTAAAATTGCATGAAACTTAAGGGGAAAAATGCATGGCAACAACAAATATCCAACTTCCTACCCCAGCTTCTATTGAGATGCCAAGAGATTTCAAAATAGGAAACATGTCGTGCCAGAAAGGTTAAAAAATTTCTGCCAGATCTTGTACAGATGAGACCAGATTTAAGAAGAGCAAAAGGACTCAAAATTAACTATATTTAATTAAAAGAGATCATCTGAAAAGTAATAAGAAAAGATATTAATTGCATCTCATTAATCCCCTTTTCCTTAAATGGAAAGGCCTGGATATGCAAATAGGTTACATGGCAATTGGGTAGGAAAGTGGATTCTATGAGTTGTCACATTTTGATCAAACCAATTACTATAAAGTGGTATGACATATCTGGATGACAATTGACAATAATATCAAAGCCTTAATAATATACATAATAATTTCCTTATGATCATCTTCCTTGGAATTTATTTTAAAGAAATTATCATGACTATGGAAAGTCATACAGACAAGTAAGCATTGTGTTTCTCTGTAATAGGGACTGGAAAATGTCTAGATGATCATTAATAGAAAATTGTTTAACTACATCATGATCCATACATATAATGCTTTTCCTAATGAGAAAAACGTTATTTCTAATACTGTACCCACATTTATGTTAGGAATGGAACTACCTTCTTTAGGAAAGTATCTTGTTGAGAAGACTTGGGCATGGATAGTGATCCTGACTGGGTGTTGAAAAAACAAAGTGAAACAAAGAGGAGATAGCTAAATTACTGCATTTAAATTTCAAACAGGAACTTTTCAATAAGAGACAGTGAAAAGAGAAAGAATATATCATTTATGATTTAAATGAAAACATATTCAGATTGTAAGACAGATCACATGCAGTTTATATATGGTTCTACCTTGCAAAACATTGAAATTATGTATATATGTATCTGTGTGTGTGTATTTGTGTAAAGTCTATTTCATATATATAAGAAAGACACAGTGACTGGAAGTAAACACCAAAATGTTGAATAAAGGTGGTTGTTACTGGGGAATAGTTACAATGGAGTGTTTAGAAAATGGGTATGTTTTTTTCTTTTTATTTTCTATATTTTCCAAATCTTTAATGATTGTTAATTCTTTTATAACCAACTTAAAACAAATGCTATAAAAATGAAACTTGTGCTGTCTCTGCTATTTTAGAGGAAATATGTAGCATACAATTTTGCTGTTCCAATCCTTTCCACTTGTTCATATCATTTGTGGCTTTACAAAAGGTACATACAGAAAATACACTTTATTATGAGATATCTTCTGGAGAAATGCATTTCCATTGTTTTAGAGTCTATTAAAATATTTTTAAAATTCTATATTCTCTACTTCAATATTCATTGCGAGACTTCTTATACTATTCTTTTATTTATTTGTGCATTTGTTTATTTTTAATTATGAAATATTCTAAGCCCATAGAGAATGATAATATGTTGAGGAAAGTCTTTATACCACTACCCAGCTTTATCAAATCTTATTCTCTGGTTACGTTTAATTCATGTGTTAAAGAAATAATACGAGTGCTAACCTCCATGTATAAAACTACCCAGGAACCCAGTCTTATCCTGCACCCTCCAGAAGTAACCATGGTCATGAATTTGCTGTAAGTCATATTTGTCTATTTTTTTTTAGAAATTTACTAAATATTTATGAAGACATATAAATCTATTCTTGGGAATGTTTTAAAGCTTTGTACATACTTCATTATAATGCATTTTAACATTTTAAAATATGTATTTTTTGACCTGGAGTATGTTTTTGAAATTTACCCTTGTTGTGAGATATAGGTAGGTTATTCACTTTCATTTCCACTGATATCTATATATCTATATTATCTATACATGTATATACACACATATATACATATACATACATGTGTATTATATAATTGTATATAATTGCATAGTGTAAAGTTATTACAATTTATGTATTCAATTTTTGGTTGAGTAGTTAACTTACATTTTTTACATTACATACAATGTTGTCTTGACATTCTTTAAATTTTTTGTCATTGAGGCATAATTGACAAATTATATTAGTTTCAGGTGCACAACATAATGATTTGATATCAGTATATATTGAAAAATGATCACCACAGTAAGTCTAGTTAACATCCATACACATATATATAGTTATAAAATTTTTTTCTTGTGATGATAACTTCTAAGTTCTACTCTCTTAGCAACTTTCAAATATGCAATGCAGTGTTATTAACGATAGTCACCATATACATTCTTTTTCACATCCTATTGTGCACATCACAGGAAGTTCTCAAGAGTCATACGGTGCAACATTTGGTCCATGGGTTAGTAGCATCAGTCTCACCTAGGATCATGTTAGAAATGCAGTCTGTCACCTCATCTCAAATATACTGAATCATAGTCTGAATTTTATATCAGGTAAATTTTATGCCCTTTAAGTACATGTGAAACACTGCATCAGGGTATATAACTTAGAGTATAATTGATGATTGCAACAGTGTTGTCCAATAAAAATATAACATGAGTCATATGTAATTTCTTGTAGCCACATTAGAAAGCAAAAAGAAGTAGATA